GCGAGCTGGGGTGGCCATACTCATTGCCCCCCATCTCAGCCGCCACGTGTTGGAGTTCTCCCCGGTGAATGAGAGGGTCGCGTCCCTCCGCCTCCGGGTGGGGGACAAGTCTCTCACTGTTGTGACGGCCTACGGGCCTAACGGTAGTGCAGAGTACCCGGCCTTCTTGGAGTCCTTGGGAGGGGTACTGGACAGTGCACCGCCCGGGGACTCCGTTATTCTCCTGGGGGACTTCAACGCCCATGTGGGAAATGCCAGTGACACTTGGAGAGGGGTGATCGGGAAGAGCGGCCCCCCTGATCTGAACCCGAGCGGTGTTCAGTTGTTGGACTTCTGTGCCAGTCACGGCCTGTCCATCACGAACACCATGTTCGAGCACAAGGGTGTCCACCAGTGCACGTGGCACCAGGACACCCTAGGCCGGAGGTCGATGATCGACTTTGTTGTCGTATCATCTGACCTTCGACCGCGTGTCTCGGACACTCGGGTAAAGAGAGGGGCGGAGCTGTCAACCGATCATCACCTGGTCGTGAGTTGGATCCGCTGGCAGGGGAAGAAGCCGGTCAGACCTGGCAGACCCAAGCGTATAGTGAGGGTTTGCTGGGAACGTCTCGCTGAGCCCCCTGTCAGACGGACTTTCAACTCACACCTCCGGGAGAGTTTCTCCCAGGTCCCGGCGGAGGAGGGGGACATCGAGTCCGAGTGGACCATGTTCTCTTCCTCTATCGCCAATGCGGCGGCTCGTAGCTGTGGTCGCAAGGTCTCTGGTGCTGGTCCCGGCGGCAATCCCCGAACCCGGTGGTGGACACCGGCAGTAAGGGATGCCGTCAGGCTGAAGAAGGAGTCCTATCGAGCAATGATGGTTCGTGGGACTCCTGAGGCAGCTGTCCAGTACCGGCAGGCCAAACGTGCCGCGGCCCGGGCTGTTGCAGAGGCAAAAAACCGGGACTGGGAGGAGTTCGGAGAGTCCATGGAGCATGACTATCGGTCGGCCTCGAAGAGGTTCTGGCAAACCGTCCGGCGCCTCAGGAGGGGGAAGCAGTTCTTTGCCAACACCGTGTATGGTGCGGGTGGAGGGCTGCTGACCTCGACTGAGGATATTGTCGGGCGGTGGAAGGAATACTTCGAGGTTCTCCTCAATCCCCCCTTCACGTCCTCCGTTCAGGAGGCAGAGGCTGAGGATGTTGGGGCGGACACTTCCATCTCCCTGGCCGAGGTCACCAAGGTGGTTGGCAGCCTCCTTGGTGGCAAGGCGCCGGGAGTGGATGAGATCCGTCCTGACTATCTAAAGTCTCTGGATGTTGTAGGACTGTCTTGGCTGACACGTCTCTGCAACATCGCGTGGCGATCGGGGGCGGTGCCAATGGAGTGGCAGACCGGGGTGGTGGTCCCTCTCTACAAGAAGGGGGACCGGAGGGTGTGTTCCAATTATCGTGGGATCACACTCCTCAGCCTCCCCGGTAAGGTGAGGTGAGGGGGTCCGGTTCGGGAACCACAGGATTTCATCTCTACTTTTTGCGGATGATGTCGTCCTGTTGGCTCCAACGAACCAGGACCTGCAGCATGCACTGGGACGGTTTGCAGCCGAGTGCGAAGCGGCTGGGATGAGAATCAGCACCTCCAAATCCGAGGCCATGGTGCTCGACCGGAAAAAGGTGCCTTGCCCTCTCCAGGTGGGTGGAGAGGTCCTTCCTCAAGTGGAGGAGTTCAAGTATCTCGGGGTCTTGTTCACGAGTGAGGGAAGAATGGAGCGTGAGATTGACAGGCGGATCGGTGCAGCGTGCGCAGTGATGCGGTCTCTGTATCGGACCGTTGTGGTAAAGAGGGAGCTGAGCCGAAAGGCGAAGCTCTCGATTTACCGGTCAATCTTCGTTCCCACCCTCACCTATGGTCATGAGCTTTGGGTAATGACCGAAAGAACGAGATCGCGGATACAAGCGGTCGAAATGAGCTTTCTCCGCAGAGTGGCTGGGCGCTCCCTTAGAGATAGGGTGAGGGGCTCAGTCACACGGGAGGAGCTCGGAGTAGAGCCGCTGCTTCTCCACGTCGAGAGGAACCAGTTGAGGTGGCTCGGGCATCTGTTCAGGATGCCTCCTGGACGCCTTCCTGGGGAGGTGTTCCGGGCACGTCCCACCGGGAGGAGGCCCCGGGGAAGACCCAGGACACGCTGGAGAGACTATGTCTCTCAGCTGGCCTGGGAACGCCTTGGGGTCCCCCCGGACGAGCTGGAGGAGGTGTGTGTGGATAGGGACGTCTGGGCGTCTCTGCTTAGACTGCTGCCCCCGCGACCCGGCAACGGATAAAGCGGAAGAAAATGGAAATGGAAAATGGAAAAAGAACTATACGACGTAATTAGATGGGTCAATTTTGGTATAGACGCAGCTGGAGAATTTAGAAAAATCAACACGTCGTCGGCATAAAGGGAGATTTTATGTTCATGATTATTCAGCAATAGCCCTTCAATAGCAGTGTCCGCTCTAATGGCAGCCGCCAGCGGCTCCATAGCCAGAGCGAACAACAGCGGACTCAACGGACATCCTTGTCTGCTGCCACGTTCAATGCCAAAGTTGTTAGATCTATAGCCGTTAGTAATTACTGCCGAGACTGGAGACTTATACAGAATCTGAATCCAATTGATAAATTCGTTCCCCAACCCAAACTTACTGAGAGTATAAAATAGATAGGGCCATTCAAGTCTATCAAAAGCCTTCTCCGCATCAACCGAAATCACCAAGGCCTCAGGATTAAACAAAGAAGAGTGCTGGATAAGATTCAGTAAACGCCTGACATTGTGTGTAGAAAACCTATTCCGTATGAAACCAGTTTGGTCGGTGTTGACAATACAAGGCAAGAGCATTTCTAAGCGTGAGGCTAGTATTTTAGCAAGGATTTTCAAATCAATATTCAAGACAGAGATTGGTCTATAGGAAGAACAATCCTCTGAGGGTTTCCCTTTCTTCAACACCAACGAAATGTTGGCCTCCATTAGGGACGGAGGGAGGGCTCCCTCTACAAAGGAGGAATCAAACATTTCAGCTAAAGGTGAAAGTAAAGTGTTGCTAAATTTTTTATAAAATTCTCCATTAAGCCCATCTGGCCCCGGAGCCTTACCATTTGGTAACATTTGAATAATTTTTAGAACCTCATTTTGTGTTATAGGTTTGCGCAAGTCCTCCCTTTGAGCGTCTGAGATTTTAGGTAGAGTAATGTTCTGGAAAAAGTTTTCCATTTCCTGATAATAAGATGATTTTAATTGAGAGGTGTAAAGTTGTTTGTAAAAACTTCGAAAAGTATCGTTTATAAATGTATTGTTGTGATGAAGCCCACCGGACGAGTCCGTAATTCCCGGGATATTGCGTGAGAAGCCTTTATTTTGAAGAAGGTTGGCAAGGTAACGATTAGGTTTGTTAGCCAGTTCGTAAAATCTCTGTTTTGTAAAAAAAATTGATTTCTCAGCCCTCTTTGTCAGCAACCCCTCTAGAGCGGTTTTAGTTACATTGATTTTTTCTCTCAAATGGTCAGAAGGGGAATTATTGTAGTCAAGCTGTAATATATGCAGTTGTAACTCAAGTTTTCTTTGTTCTTCTTGACATTGTTTTTTCATTCTAGCAGAGTATGATATAATCAGGCCGCGAGTGTATGCCTTTAATGTATCCCAGAGTAAACCAGGAGAGACATCAGGGGTCTTATTGTGTCTTAAAAATTCCAACAATTCTTCATTTAAATATTTTTCAAATTTTGGGTCATGGATCAAGAAATTATTGAATCTCCAATTCAGATTACGGGGGATGGGGTTTAGATTCCCCAGCTGGACAAAAATAGGAGCATGGTCCGAAATGATTATATCACCAATACTGCAGCTTATGATATTGTCTATTGAGCACTTAGGGGTAAAAATGTAATCAATTCTCGAACTAGACTTATGTACACCAGAGAAAAAAGTGAATTCTTTATCCTTGGGATGTAGAACACGCCACGTATCTACGAAGTCAAGCTCATTACATGTATCCATGAGGGCCTTAGCCCTCCTTGACATTGTAATTTGAGTTGAGGGAGATTTGTCCAGTACAGAGGAGAAGTAACAGTTAAAATCCCCCGCAATAACAGAATTGTCACAAACCCATTCCGAGAATGAGGAGAAAACTGGAGTAATGAAATCAACTGATTGGACGGGTGGATAATAAATATTCAGAAAAGAAACATGTTTACCATGGAGTGTTCCCTTTAAAAGCAGATATCTGCCCGATTTGTCACATATAATTTGTGTATCAATTAGAGGCAAGTGTTTATGCACCAGGATGGCAACACCACGACTCTTACTCGTAAAGGAGGAGCTAAACACCTGTCCAACCCAGTCACGTTTTAATTTTAAATGTTCTTCAGTAGTTAAGTGGGTCTCCTGCAAGAGAGCCACGTGTATACCTTCCTTTTTCAGAAAACTTATAATTTTTTTACGCTTGATAGGACTATGAATACCACCAACATTCCAGCTGCAGATCTTCAGAGCTGAACCAGTACTGGTCATATCAATTTACAGACAAATAGCCAAGTGGATCCGAACAATATTGTCAATTTTAAGACCTCCACATAGTACAAAAAGAGTAGAAACTTAGAAAAAAATAAATGCTCTGCTTTGCTAACATGGAACCAAAAACTTCTTACAAAAAACATTTGTAGAAAAACAAAAACAAAAGGAGTCAGACAACGGCCTAAAACGCCCAACAGGGGGCGCCAGCTATCTTCCCTGGGGACACCGAGAGAGATGCAGGGCCATGGTATCATTTGTATTCAGTTGCTATTGGGCCCACAGCTCTTTATGAATTCCAATATATACCGTAAGAACAAAACAAAAGTTAAAAAAAGAAAAAAAAAAACAACTAAGAAGACCAGGGCTTTTTGTGGCAACATGCCAGTTCTGAGACATTAAAATCTTACCACTCTATACGTCATATTGGTAGCCAAAGCTGCCATATCCAGCAGCAAACTGCGTATGTATAGGATTAAGAAGAGGCTGGTGATGGCATCCTCACACCGATCAGCCCGTCCAGAAAGCCGGTTGCATCCGCCGGGTGCCTGAAGAGCTTTTCCTCCCCGCGATGTCTGATTCTCAAAACAGCTGGGTACAGCATAGCAAATACAATACCCTGCTCTCTGCATCGTCGCTTGACTGCGGTGAATTCTTGTCGCTTTTTCACCACAGCGGCAGAGAAATCCTCAAATATCATCACGGAGGCACCTTTGTAACTCAGGGTCTTCAGCCTCCGGGCCGCTTGCATGATCCGGACCTTATCTTGGAAGTTGTGGAGCTTCATGATGACCGCTCGTGGTCTTTGTCCTGCGGGAGGGCGACGGGTGAGAGCGCGGTGGCAGCGGTCAATCTTAACAACGCCTCCTTTGAAATTATCACTCTCACCGACAAGCGCAGGCAGCCATGACTTAAAAAAGTACACTGGGTTTGTACCCTCGCTGCCTTCTTCAAGGCCAACAATCCTAAGATTACAGCGCCTGCCCCTATTTTCCAAATCATCAATCTTCTCAAGTGCGGCCTCCAGTTTCAGCTCCATCTCAGAAAGTTTAGCATCATGGCTCTCAGTCACGTCTTCCTGCGCGGATATGCGCTGCTCTGCACCGGAGACTCTTGTGTCTAGCGAGGCAATGTCAGACGTGCACGTTTGCAATTTTAGTAGGACAGGGTCAATTTTTTTATCCAGTGAGGCCTCCAAAGCTTTCAATACCTCTGCGGTGATCCTTTCCACCAGACTATCAACGTCCAGAGGCTGGACCGGCTGTACTGGCGCAAGAACAGGTGGTGGCGTGGGGTCCGCCATTACTCCTTCACTGTTAGCATCGGCAGGCGTGGAAACATTGTTTTCTCCTTGTTTTCCAGATTTCACCCCCATATTAGTGATCTTCCTCTGTCTTTGCATCTTCACGAGCAGATTGGCACGAGTTTTGTCGTGGTCTTCAAAGTTAAATAAACAGAAATAGATACCGAGCTGCGGGAGCCCAAGCTGAGAGCTGCTACTCCGCCATTAGCCCAAGACTCCTCCTCCAGGTATAATCAGTTTTAATCAGGTATAATCAGGTATAATCAGGTATAATCAGGTATAATCAGTTATAATCAGTTACAATCAGTTACAATCAGTTACAATCAGGTACAATCAGTTATAATCAGGTATAATCAGTTATAATCAGTTATAATCAGGTATAATCAGGTATAATCAGTTAGAATCAGTTAGAATCAGTTAGAATCAGTTATAACCAGGTATAATCAGTTAGAATCTGTTAGAATCAGTTATAATCAGTTAGAATCAGTTATAATCAGTTAGAATCAGTTAGAATCACTTAGAATCAGTTACAATCAGTTAGAATCAGTTAGAATCAGTTACAATCAGTTATAATCAGGTATAATCAGTTATAATCAGGTATAATCAGTTATAATCAGTTATAATCAGTTACAATCAGTTACAATCAGTTACAATCAGTTATAATCAGTTAGAATCAGTTAGAATCACTTAGAATCAGTTACAATCAGTTAGAATCAGTTACAATCAGTTACAATCAGTTATAATCAGGTATAATCAGTTATAATCAGGTATAATCAGTTATAATCAGTTATAATCAGTTACAATCAGTTACAATCAGTTAGAATCAGTTATAATCAGTTATAATCAGTTACAATCAGTTACAATCAGTTACAATCAGTTACAATCAGTTACAATCAGTTAAAATCAGGTATAATCAGTTAGAATCAGTTAGAATCAGTTAAAATCAGTTACAATCACTTAGAATCACTTAGAATCACTTAGAATCAGTTACAATCAGTTACAATCAGTTACAATCAGTTACAATCAGTTATAATCATTTATAATCATTTATAATCAGGTATAATCAGTTATAATCAGGTATAATCAGATATAATCAGTTACAATCAGTTACAATCAGGTATAATCAGGTATAATCAGGTATAATCAGTTATAATCAGTTATAATCAGTTACAATCAGTTACAATCAGTCATAATCAGTCAGAATCAGTCAGAATCAGTTACAATCAGTTACAATCAGTTACAATCAGTTACAATCAGTTACAATCAGGTACAATCAGTTATAATCAGGTATAATCAGTTATAATCAGTTACAATCAGTTACAATCAGTTACAATCAGTTACAATCAGATATAATCAGTTATAATCAGTTATAATGAGGTATAATCAGTTATAATCAGTTACAATCAGTTACAATCAGTTACAATCAGTTACAATCATTTATAATCATTTATAATCAGGTATAATCAGTTATAATCAGGTATAATCAGTTATAATCAGTTACAATCAGTTACAATCAGGTATAATCAGTTATAATCAGGTATAATCAGTTATAATCAGTTATAATCAGTTACAATCAGTTACAATCAGTCACAATCAGTCACAATCAGTCAGAATCAGTTACAATAAGTTACAATAAGTTACAATCAGTTACAATCAGTTACAATCAGTTACAATCAGTTATAATCAGGTATAATCAGTTACAATCCGTTACAATCAGTTACAATCAGTTACAATCAGTTACAATCAGTTACAATCAGTTACAATCAGTTATAATCAGTTATAATCAGTTATAATGAGGTATAATCAGTTACAATCAGTTACAATCAGTTACAATCAGTTACAATCAGTTATAATCAGTTATAATCAGTTATAATGAGGTATAATCAGTTATAATCAGGTATAATCAGTTATAATCAGTTATAATCAGTTACAATCAGTTACAATCAGGTATAATCAGTTATAATCAGTTATAATCAGTTATAATCAAGTATAATCAGTTATAATCAGGTATAATCAGTTATAATCAGGTATAATCAGTTATAATCAAGTATAATCAGTTATAATCAGGTATAATCAGTTATAATCAGTTACAATCAGTTACAATCAGTTACAATCAGGTATAATCAGTTATAATCAGTTATAATCAAGTATAATCAGTTATAATCAGGTATAATCAGTTATAATCAGGTATAATCAGTTATTTCATTTCATTTCATTTTCAACCCCTTTGTCCGTTTCTGGGTGGGGGGGGGGGGGGGGGGGGGGGGGGGGGGGGGGGTGGCAATGAGAGCTGCCACCCAACGCTCATAGCACCAGTCCCTCGCTGATCCTCTGTAGGGGGTGAGTCCACAGGAAGATGGCTGCTCTGTCAATTATGAAACAGCCTTGATCTTTCAGCGGGGGGCTTCAGGCAATGTGGGGTTAAGTGTCTTGCCCAAGGACACAACGACAGCAGTCATCAGTGGGAGCAGTTGGAGTAGGTCCCATGGTGGGAATTGAACTCACGACCTCCAGGCCCAAAGGCCAATGCTCTACCAACTGAGCTACTGTCGCCCCCTTATTATAACAATCAGTTATAATCAGTTAGAATCAGTTACAATCAGTTACAATCAGTTGTAATCAGTTATAATCAGTTATAATCAGGTATAATCAGTTATAATCAGTTATAATCAGTTACAATCAGTTACAATCAGTTACAATCAGTTACAATCAGTTACAATCAGTTACAATCAGTTATAATCAGTTATAATCAGTTATAATCAGTTACAATCAGTTACAATCAGTTACAATCAAGTATAATCAGTTATAATCAGTTATAATCAGTTACAATCAGTTACAATCAGTTACAATCAGTTATAATCAGGTATAATCAGTTATAATCAGGTATAATCAGTTATAATCAGTTATAATCAGTTACAATCAGTTACAATCAGTTACAATCAGTTAGAATCAGTTTTAATCAGTTACAATCAGTTACAATCAGTTATAATCAAGTATAATCAGTTATAATCAGTTATAATCAGTTATAATCAGTTATAATCAGTTATAATGAGGTATAATCACTTATAATCACTTATAATCAGTTACAATCAGTTATAATCAGTTATAATCAGTTATAATCAGGTATAATCAGTTATAATCAGTTACAATCAGTTACAATCAGGTATAATCAGTTATAATCAGGTATAATCAGTTACAATCAGTTATTTCATTTCATTTCATTTTCAACCCCTTTGTCCGTTTCTGGGTCGGGGGGGGGGGGGGTGGCAATGAGAGCTGCCCCCAACGCTCATAGCACCAGTCCCTCGCTGATCCTCTGTAGGGGGTGAGTCCACAGGAAGATGGCTGCTCTGTCAATTATGAAACAGCCTTGATCTTTCAGCGGGGGGCTTCAGGCAATGTGGGGTTAAGTGTCTTGCCCAAGGACACAACGACAGCAGTCATCAGTGGGAGCAGTTGGAGTAGGTCCCATGGTGGGAATTGAACTCACGACCTCCAGGCCCAAAGGCCAATGCTCTACCAACTGAGCTACTGTCGCCCCCTTATTATAACAATCAGTTATAATCAGTTAGAATCAGTTACAATCAGTTACAATCAGTTGTAATCAGTTATAATCAGTTATAATCAGGTATAATCAGTTATAATCAGTTACAATCAGTTACAATCAGTTACAATCAGTTACAATCAGTTACAATCAGTTACAATCAGTTATAATCAGTTATAATCAGTTACAATCAGTTACAATCAGTTACAATCAAGTATAATCAGTTATAATCAGTTATAATCAGTTACAATCAGTTACAATCAGTTACAATCAGTTATAATCAGGTATAATCAGTTATAATCAGGTATAATCAGTTATAATCAGTTATAATCAGTTACAATCAGTTACAATCAGTTACAATCAGTTACAGTTACAATCAGTTAGAATCAGTTTTAATCAGTTACAATCAGTTACAATCAGTTACAATCAGTTATAATCAAGTATAATCAGTTATAATCAGTTATAATCAGTTATAATCAGTTATAATCAGTTATAATGAGGTATAATCACTTATAATCAGTTATAATCAGTTACAATCAGTTATAATCAGTTATAATCAGTTATAATCAGGTATAATCAGTTATAATCAGTTATAATCAGTTACAATCAGTTACAATCAGTTATAATCAGGTATAATCAGTTATAATCAGTTATAATCAAGTATAATCAGTTACAATAAGTTACAATCAGTTACAATCAGTTACAATCAGTTACAATCAGTTATAATCAAGTATAATCAGTTATAATCAGTTATAATCAGTTATAATCAGTTATAATCAGTTATAATGAGGTATAATCAGTTATAATCAGTTATAATCAGTTATAATCAGTTATAATCAGGTATAATCAGTTATAATCAGTTATAATCAGTTACAATCAGTTACAATCAGTTATAATCAGGTATAATCAGTTATAATCAGTTATAATCAAGTATAATCAGTTATAATCAGTTATAATCAGGTATAATCAGTTATAATCAAGTATAATCAGTTATAATCAGGTATAATCAGTTATAATCAGTTACAATCAGGTATAATCAGGTATAATCAGGTATAATCAATTATAATCAGTTATAAACAGTTAGACCCAGATGGCAGTCCCTCAGTCACAAACACTCATTCATCCTGAACTATCGCACATGAAACCGGAGCACCTGGAGGAAACCTACGCAGACACTGGAAAAACCTGCAAACTCCACTCAGAAAGGCCTTGTTCCAACCGGGATTCGAACCCAGAACCTTCTTGCTGAGAAGCGAGAGTGCTGTAATGTTGATAATTGGCTCACAGCTGTTAGAAAAACCCAAATAAAACATTATATTTTGAAAAGAGTAAACAACATAACAAAGGATTGATATTTGTTGCTTTACACAGAGTGAGTCTATGTCATATACAGTATATATTAAATTACAGAGTTAAACTTTTAAACTTCTCAGAGCGTCACCTGACTGTAGTCTTAGATCATAGATCCAGTCTGTATGAATATAAATAGTTAAGGATTGGAATCTGACGGTGAATGTTGGAGGCTTTACTCTTCGTACAAACAACAGAAAAAGAACAGCTGGTGTTTGTTTCAAAGCAGTGAAAGTTTTCACACCTTCTCCTGACGCTGATCCAATGTCTCTTCTTCTCCTGACGCTGATCCAATGTCTCTTCTTCTCCTGACGTTGGTCCAATGTCTCTTCTTCTCCTGACGCTGGTCCAATGTCTCTTCTTCTCCTGACGCTGGTCCAATGTCTCTTCTTCTCCTGACGCTGGTCCAATGTCTCTTCTTCTCCTGACGCTGGTCCAATGTCTCTTCTTCTCCTGACGCTGGTCCAATGTCTCTTCTTCTCCTGACGCTGGTCCAATGTCTCTTCTTCTCCTGACGTTGGTCCAATGTCTCTTCTTCTCCTGACGCTGGTCCAATGTCTCTTCTTCTCCTGACGTTGGTCCAATGTCTCTTCTTCTCCTGACGCTGGTCCAATGTCTCTTCTTCTCCTGCCGCTGGTCCAATGTCTCTTCTTCTCCTGACGCTGGTCCAATGTCTCTTCTTCTCCTGACGCTGATCCAATGTCTCTTCTTCTCCTGACGCTGGTCCAATGTCTCTTCTTCTCCTGACGCTGGTCCAATGTCTCTTCTTCTCCTGACGCTGGTCCAATGTCTCTTCTTCTCCTGCCGCTGGTCCAATGTCTCTTCTTCTCCTGACGCTGGTCCAATGTCTCTTCTTCTCCTGACGCTGATCCAATGTCTCTTCTTCTCCTGACGCTGGTCCAATGTCTCTTCTTCTCCTGACGCTGGTCCAATGTCTCTTCTTCTCCTGACGCTGGTCCAATGTCTCTTCTTCTCCTGACGCTGGTCCAATGTCTCTTCTTCTCCTGACGCTGGTCCAATGTCTCTTCTTCTCCTGACGCTGGTCCAATGTCTCTTCTTCTCCTGACGCTGGTCCAATGTCTCTTCTTCTCCTGACGCTGGTCCAATGTCTCTTCTTCTCCTGACGCTGGTCTAATGTCTCTTCTTCTAGTCATTCTGTTTATTCACCTTCCAGTTTCAAACAATATTTATTTAAGGACCTATATTTTTTTCCGTCTTCACTTTTGTCAAACAAGGATCGTAAACTGTACATAGATGAAGCCCAATGGGAAGTGCTCATGGACAAAGTTTTGCTCCAACTCACTCCTATTATTTGACTTCCACTGAAACATAAACTCCTCTCTCTTATAACTGTGTCACATTCACTCTCTCTGGCTTCAATCTTGGTTTAGAGCTCTCTATGATCCCTAAACCCCAAGCACCGGACCAATCAGGAGCCTTCTGTCGCTGAACTTGGCTTTAGCTAGCAGGTAGCAGGAGTATGAACAGACCGGCTGCTCTGATTGGTGCTCGGTGACTCAGTCGTTGCTGCAGACAAACATTTCACTGGGCTCCACATTCCTGTTCCAATCGTCTGCTCCATCTCGCTCCAAACGGTTCCGCTTTAAGGAAACCGCTCTGATGGCGTCAGTCCTAACGGTCTGTGCCTTAGACACTCATTACACACCTTCATCTGACGAACTTCTGCCACAAAAATCTATCAGCTCTATCCCAAACCCTCGTCCAGAGATCAGGATTTTCTGCCTTTCAAAACAAAAGAATTGCCTTAAAATAGTCCATGCATTTCTCCAGTAAGACCCCGCCATCTTAGATTTAGATCCAAACCTTCTTTGCCAATGTCATTTTTATTTATAAAATGGCAAAAACTATTGTCTGTATGAAAAAATGTGTTTCTGTACAGCTTCCCACAAATGTTTTAATACACATTTTTCTTGTTTTAAGATGAAGAGATCCTTTATTGGTCCCACAGTGGGGAAATGTCAGTGTTGCACTGACATCAGAGCAGTAGGAGAGAGGAGCACACACAAGATAAGATAAGAAAACAATAGCTCTAACTCTAGCACCAATAATCTTTGTATTTATTTATGTTATTATCCAGTTTCAGGGCCCCACCTTTTTCATATATTTGACTTTCTCAAATGTGCTGTAAAAAGTGGGTGCATGGTCTGAAGTTGTTAAATAATCCATGTCTATGAAATAAATCCAAAACGTTGCGTCGAAGTCATTGTAAATCCTGTTTTCAGAGTGTTCGTCACAAACGCTGCTGGCTTCTTCTCAAGGACACAAACTTGCACTCATTGAATTAATGGCGTCCCAATTATCCGGCTCCCCCTTCACCCTTCCCCCGCTCCGATGGGACGAGCTGTCAGCTGATCCACCAAATACATTATTTATAACACTGTGCTGTCTGCTTTATGGCATCGCCTAGCAACCGCAGAAATGGATTATCTCCAGTCCACGGCGAGGAGAGGACGAGGAGAGAATGTAGAGAAAGTATTTTATTATCACCGCAGAATGTATTTTCTCTCGGTTTTGTCACGAAATGTATAAATGTAGCAATAATCTATGACGAAGCATCTAAAGGCTGTAACTACTGAGCTGGTTTGGGATGTCCTGGATCGCCGTATATGACAACCTGTTCCAGTTCCTGCCAATATCAAGCAACTCAGCACCATTAGAGAGGAGTGTAGCAGCAACAACAAGACCAGTTTAGACCAGGGTCGGGCAATTCTTATCCTCAGCAGGCCGGGGCCACTTTGGGATATCGCCCTATTGTGGGGGACAGACTCTATTTCATGTTTTTTTTTTCATCTAAAAACATTTTAGATACATGAATAAGAACAGAATACAATACAATACAATACAATACAATACAATACAATACAATACAATACAATACAATACAATACAATACAATGTATTGTTGTATAGCCCTAGGTCACAACAGAAGTCATCTCAGAGACTTAACAAAACCATTGAAATCACCAACACAGGTCAGAGAATCAACAGTTAAAGCACATGAAGAATATAAAGCACACACAGAAGAAAATGTCCATACATGTTGTAGAATGCTAAAGTGTCCTGATCATCACCAATCCTTTCTGTTGGACACTAACTGTCCAACAAGACCCTCCTGCATCCACAAGGAACAACTCTTAAAAAACCCAGTGGGAAAAAGTGAGAAACCTTGGAGGAGAACTAGGGAAACCCACAGGGAGGGAGACCCATATGAGAAAGGGATCCGCTCCTCCGGACGGACAGACTAATGATCTAGGACCTAAGCTAGCTACAGGACGTGGACCAGTGGCCGCTGAACGTGGACAGGTCCGGTGCAGGACTGAAGCACTCCCAGGCGGGTCGGGCGGGGCAGTCCGCAGGTGCAGAGGGAGGAGGCCAGGCTAATGATCCAGGACCTAAGCTAGCTAGAATGAAAGTAGAACATGCCATGGAAGCACATGTTAAAGTGCTGACTCCTGGTTCACTTAAGACACACCGGTATGAGGTTAACAACTGGGAAGTGTCCAGGGGCCGCATAGGAATGTGGACCGGGCCGAATGTGGACTGGGCCGAATGTGGACTGGGCCGAATGTGGACAGGGCCGAATGTGGACAGGGCCGAATGTGGACAGGGCCGAATGTGGACAGGGCCGAATGTGGACAGGGCCGAATGTGGCCCCTGGGCCGCGATTTGCCCAGGTCTGGTTTAGACCCTTTTCAACAAAGAGACGAGAGGATTGGGAACAAAATGGTACAACAACGATTTAAATGACCACAAACAGGCTCCAGACGTTTTCTCAGTCATTATTAGTTTCTGACAATACACACACACACACACACAGACACACAACACACACACACACACACACACACAGACACACACAGACACACACAACATTCAGACACACAACACACAGACACAGACACACAACACACAGACACACACACAACACACAGACACACACACACAACACAAAGACACACACACAACACACAGACACACACACACACACAACATACAGACACACACAACACACACACACAACACACAGGCACACAACACACACACAACACACAGACACACAACACACACACAAGACACAGACACACACACACAACACAAAGACACACACACACACACACAACACACACGGACACACACACACAACACAAAGACACACACAACACACACAGACACACACAAACAACACACACACACAACACATACACACAACACACACAGACACACACAACACACACACATACAACACACACAACACACACACACATACAACACACACACAACACACACACATACACACACAGACACAACACACACACTCACACAACACATACACACACACACACACACAGAGGATTCATGGTTCTACACTGGTCCAGACCAGAGAGAAAACATCTAGTGTAAATAATTTGAAATGTGGAGCATCCTGGTTCTTTTCCAAAAGTTAAATTTGAGTTTGATAAAAACACAGCTTCCCTCAGTTTTAAAAATGGCTCTAACCATGTGGCTCAGACTGAAGACCATGTGAAGCTGGAGCCAAAGCGACTCCGACTGAAGACCATGTGAAGCTGGAGCCAAAGCGACTCCGACTGAAGACCATGTGAAGCTGGAGCCAAAGCGACTCAGACTGAAGACCATGTGAAGCTGGAGCCAAAGCGACTCCAACTGAAGACCATGTGAAGCTGGAGCCAAAGCGACTCCGACTGAAGACCATGTGAAGCTGGAGCCAAAGCGACTCCAACTGAAGACCATGTGAAGCTGGAGGCAAAGCGACTCAGACTGAAGACCATGTGAAGCTGGAGCCAAAGCGACTCAGACTGAAGACCATGTGAAGCTGGAGCCAAAGCGACTCAGACTGAAGACCATGTGAAGCTGGAGCCAAAGCGACTCCGACTGAAGACCATGTGAAGCCCTAACCCTGACCTCCTTCTGTCCAGAGATAATTATTCATTAAATGTTATTATATCCTGAAGCTCCTCCCACTTAAAAAGAGAAGTCTGTTGTTTTCATCTCAGGGTTAACCTCAGCGATCAGAGACCAAGTAACAAAACATAATCCAGAAAACCACTGAAATGTGAAGAGTGTATTTGCTCCTAATGACAGAAGTCTCCATAGTTTGTCTGTGAGTCTTCAACACTTACAGACTGATGCAGGTATTTTGGCCCGTTCCTCCATGCTGATATCCCTGGGCATCACTGATCTTTAACTCCCTCCAAAGATTATCTCTGGGGTTGAGATCTGCAGACTGGGTTTGGGATCATTGTCGAGCTGAAAGACCCACTTTTCATCTTCAATGTGCTGATTGAAGGAGGTTTTCACTCTAAATCTCACGATACACGGCCCCATTCATTCTTATCTTTACACAGATCAGTCGTCCTGGTCCTTTTCAGAAAAATGCCCCAAATCACAATGTTTCCACCCCCATGCTTCACAATAGGTATGATGTTTTTTGGATGTTTTTTTCTCTGCCAAACACGATAAATTGAGTTCTATCTTGGTTTCATGTGACCATAGGACACTCTCCCAACCCTGTTCCGGATCATCCAAAGGCTGTCTAGAAGCCTAACAGATGGTCTACTGGTGTCAAGTGACACAGAGACACATTTCTCTACAGTTTAATATCTTAATCCTCACATTATTTCATTTATAAGACTATAAATGTGTGTTTCTTGTTAGCCAAAAGCTTTTGCTCCACAAATGAAATAATGATACATCTTGAATCTAGAACCATTAATAAACATTCAATAATATTTATTTGTGTATTGCCCACACACACACACACATACACGTTTTTGTTACCTGGTGGGTCCCTTTGACAGGGCCGTTCAGAATGGGACCCATAGACATAATCTTTTTTTACTGGGACTACTTTAAGTAATACAAAACAGTCAATAGAAAACAAACAACTCTTTTAAAGGAATTTTATTTTAGATTTTTTTTTCGAATTGCAGTGATTCTATTTTTGACATAGAATTTAATGCCACTCCATGTCCGATGTCTAAGGTCATCTGGTGAGGCATTAATGCAGGCCAGGCAGTGAGACTTCCCAGGGACCTTTCCAGTCTGTATGAAAGGTGTCATGGTCTTCTCCACAGCCTTCACCTCAGATGCAGACCATGGCTTTCTTACACGTTCTAGGGAGAGAAATAAAAATATATTAGCAATATACACTCCCAGGGTTAGGACCAAGCAGCCTGGCTGTAATCCCCCACCTGGTACACTTACCAGAAGGGGCACTGCCACTACCATGGGGTGCATCTGGATGAATGGTTGAAGGTTCTCCGCTTGAAGTTTCTTTTAGCCCGTCCGTTTGTGAGAGGATCTCTACTGCTCTCCCTGTCGCACAGAAAATAAAAATACAAGTGGCCTTTAGGGGAAAAAAATCATACATATTTTAATAATATCAAGAATTACCTTCAGGCTCAATTTGTATCTGGTCGAGGCTCTTTCCTTCGAATTCCGTCACTCTTCCCTGCTCCATGGCCATCAACACTTTGCTGATTTTGGCCAGCTCCAGTGTCCCCTCTGGTAGTCTGTAATATTGGGCCTCATTCACGAATAACTTCGTAAGAAACTACTCAAATTTCTTCTCAAGTTGTCCTTAAGTAGATTTCTAAGAAGTCCCCACGTGGGATTCATCAACGCACTCGTAAGCCGCTGAATTGTTCGCAGCTGTTCTCTCAGATTGATGAATCCCATTTCCTCGTAAATACAGCGCGCGTGCCAGGTGCTTCATTAGCATAGGTACTTAGCATAAGTAACCGCCCATTAATGCCCATATAAGGGACTGCAGGGCCGTGTGCAGACGCCAGAGGAAACAGCAACAGGCCTAAAGCAACAGGCCACGGAGCAAAAGAGTCACCCTTTTTTCTTCTTTTACCAGACTGAGAATAAAGTTATAAAATGTTGACTTAAAAGGCAAAATATTATGATAATAAAGTCGAACTAGCAAAATTATGAGATTAATCTAAGAATATGATGAGATTAATCTCAAAATGTTATGAGCTTAATTTAAAAATATATTATGTATTATTTTAAAGATTAATCTCAAAATGTTTTGAGATTAATCTCAAAATATTTTGGACCCTGGGAGGAGATCCAGCGCGGACCAGCGCTGAGACCAATGCAGACCCGAGGAGAGACTGGAGTGACCAGCACACAGAAACCAGCGCGGACCTATAGGAGAGACCGCATAGACTGGAGAGACCGGTGCGCAGAGACCAGCACGGACCGAAGATAGACCGCATAGACCAGACTTGAGAGACCAGCGCGGACCCGTATGGATCCAGGAGCATGCAGCACGGACCCGTATGGAGAGACCAGTGCAGACCCGTATAGATCCATGGGAGAGACCAGTGCAGACCCGTATATGGGAGAGACCAGTGCAGACCCGTCTAGATCCATGGGAGAGACCAGTGCAGACCTGTATATGGGAGAGACCAGTGCAGACCCGTCTAGATCCATGGGAGAGACCAGTGCAGACCCGTATAGATCCATGGGAGAGACCAGTGCAGACCAGTATAGATCCATGGGAGAGACCAGTGCAGACCCGTATATGGGAGAGACCAGTGCAGACCCGTCTAGATCCATGGGAGAGACCAGTGCAGACCCGTATAGATCCATGGGAGAGACCAGTGCAGACCCGTATAGATCCATAGAGCCCAGTGCAGACCCGTATAGATCCATGGGAGAGACCAGTGCAGACCCGTATAGATCCATAGGAGAGACCAGCGCAGAGACTCAGCGCGGACCCAGTAACCTCCTGCAGCAGCAGTATATATGCCGTTGTTCTGTGGCCCGTGGATAAAGAAATGCCCCCTATAAATAGGAAGGGGTCACTAATACACGGCAAGATTTCCAATGTATTTGATAAAGCGTTGGCACATTTCATTTCAAAATGAATTAAAGTAGGCCAGATCTGCAGTGAAAAAGGCGGTATATAAATAAAGATTACTAATAAAGATTACTACAAATAAATAAATACATACATCGATATGACGGACATATCACTGGAATGTTGTATTTTTATTCAACTTCACCAAAGAGGACAACCCCGGCGTGTGAACATGTCGGCACTGAATGCGTACGAGTGCTCCTGAGGACTCGTAGGATTTGTACTTGCCCAAGAGAAATTCTGGTTACGAGAAATATTTGTGAATGCCACTTTCTTCGTAAAAACCGGGCGGGAGAAGAAGTATGGGTTATGGTCAGAGATGGAACAGGCCCTTCTGTTCTCCACCAGCACCTCCATCCAAGCAATCATTTCAGGAGTCAAAAGAACCACCACTTTCCCACTTCTTTTCCCTTTAATTTCAATGCGTTGAAAATGCTGACACAGCTTTTTCTCAAGTTGGGACAGTCCCAGAGCAATGTCAGAATGGATCCCAGTCTTACTTCTTAAGGTAAAGGCTGTCAGTGGCATCTTTGAAACCTCACCTTCCCTTCTTCGATTGAAAATAATGACCTCACAAAGAGTCAAAACTGCCAGTTTAGACCAATGCTTAGACGTTGGCTCACTTATTAGGGTTTGCACATATTCAGGTCGACATACCTCAATATGTGCATGCATGGCTCTAACGTCCTCAGTCAGAGGGAGCAGGTCCGGAGTGTTCCACTTGGCTTGCCGGAGGGTCTGTAGGGCAGCAGAAGAAACACAGACGTCCCACCTCTTCTCAAAAAGCAGCCGGCTTCGTTGGAGGTTTTTAATAAATAGTTCATCAACACAATGCTCCATTTTTGAGTCACATTCAAGAATATCTGCTAGCTTTCTGAGGCTATGGCCGAGTTTGAGGGCCAAGGATGGAGTCTTGTATTGATTTGTTTCCTCATCATATCCAGCCACAGACCTGACTGCATCAATCACATGGTTAAAGTTGGAAGGAATAAAGAAATCCTTAATTGTTTTCAGTTTCCATGCGGTTTTTGCTTCGTTAATTAACCTACCGACTTCTCTCATTTTCTGCCTAATGTAATCATGCTTAGTCTTATCATGCCCGTGTTTTAAGTACAGGTGCTCTCCGAGTCTCAGAATCCCCTTTTCTGCTTTGACAACACCCGTGACCTCATCCTGATGCATTGCCCAAATTAAAGACCACAGCTTTTTGCTGATGCCCTCCGGTACAGGCTGGGCTAGGGAGCAGAGGGACTGGACCCTACTTCTACCTGGTTTAGCCTGGGCATCTTTCTGTGAAAGCCGGCACCTGGCCACATGCCTCCACAGCGACTTTCGCTTAAGCAATGCCCCACAGTCTATACAGTGCAAAAACTCACTGGATTTAACTGGGGAATTTGGCTGTTTAGCTGGGACTAAAGTTCCAATGCCGGCCTTTAAAACCTCAACATTGTGCTCACGGTTTCCACTATTCCTGATCAAATCAAAGTGAAGTTTACGTGCTTTAGATTTCACAGGTAGAGCCAATGCTCTGGCTACGTCACTTTCATTTCCATGTTTTCTAGTCAAATGACGGGACATTTTGTGGCAGGACATTGAACAGTAGAGGCAGAAGTGTCTCTTGCTATAAACTCTGCCCCCATTTTTCTTCTTTTGCAGCTGCATGATAACAATCTTATTTGCCTTTGGTTCCTCACTTTCCGAGTCTTGAAGAAAAGTGTTTTTGATTTTTCTTTTTCCATACTTTTTTACAGGTTTCTTCTTGACAGTTAAATCGTCAGAATCTGAGTCGACTTCATCAATTAGGGACTCTTGACTAAGCTGCACAAACAACAAATAATTTGTAATAATTCTATATAACAATTTGAAGTCATGACTTGTAGTCAGCACTTACCAGTGGTTTGTAAGCGTGCGCTTCAGTGTGCTGCTCTGTGATTGGCTGCAGCCTAATGAACCACACACTTGCACCTTTTCTAGCCTGACACCTGATTTCCTCTGTTGTGCTGCTCCATGATTGGCTCCAGCCTCTGTTGTGCTGCTCCATGATTGGCTCCAGCCTCTGTTGTGCTGCTCCATGATTGGCTCCAGCCTCTGTTGTGCTGCTCCATGATTGGCTCCAGCCTCTGTTGTGCTGCTCCATGATTGGCTCCAGCCTCTGTTGTGCTGCTCCATGATTGGCTCCAGCCTGCTGGACTGAAATTGCCCCAGTGTGCCCCTCCTTGATATCCCGCAACCCACCACCAGGGTTCCGACACATAACACACTTTTTTCAGGAAAGTAAACCTCCAGGGGTCCTTTCCATATTTTTACAGAGACTGCATAAGGACCGTTAGAAAAGCATTACCCATTGATTATTAAGCTTGGACCAGTGGGGTCCGGTGTTCGGGCCCCACCACGTAAAACCAGTCCCCATGACGTGAGTGGAATCTCAGGTTATGGAACCCACCAGGAGTTGAAAACAAGTGCACACACACACACAGTCACACACACACACACACACAGTGGTCACACACAGACACACACACACAGTCACACACACACACACAGTCACACACAGTCACACACACACACAGTCACACACACAGACACACACACACACACACCTCAGTCTGATATAAGCCTCTGTGCTATAATGAGGAAAGTCTATCCTCCGGTGACAGGATCGTTGAAGGCGCCAGGAGCGACCGGCGGCTCTTCCAACGGCCCCCACGTCCTGACACCTTCTCCCCACTACCCATGAGCCTTCACTTCCCAAGAGTCTTCACTACCCATGAGCCTTCACTTCCTCTGCAGAAAGCACAGATGGAGTGAAGGCAGAGAGGAGGGGAGTGTTGTGCTCCGTTGCATCAGACAGCACTCTGGGTTTCAGCCCAATTACTGCAGCGAGCCGCGCCTGACCCGGGGCAGAGTGAGGCATGGAGGCCTATAGACGTGTGTGAGACCAGGGAAAGTGTGTTTATGGTGTGAGACCAGGGAAAGTGTGTTTATGGTGTGAGACCAGGGAAAATGTGTTTATGGTTTTACAGTGCCTTGCGAAAGTATTCGGCCCTCTTGAACCTTTCAACATTTCGCCACATTTCAGTCTTCAAACATAAAAATATAAAATTGTAATTTTTTGTCATGAATCAACAACAAGTGGGACACAATCGTGAAGTGGAACAAAATTTATTGGATAATTGAAACTTTTTTAACAAATAAAAAACTGAAAAGTGGGGCGTGCAATATTATTGGGCCCCTTTACTTTCAGTGCAGCAAACTCAGTCCAGAAGTTCAGTGAGGATCTTTGAATGATCCAATGTTGTCCTAAATGACTGATGATGATAAATAGAATGCACCTGTGTGTAATCAAGTCTCCGTATAAATGCACCTGCTCTTTGATAGTCTCAGGGTTCTGTTTAAAGCGCAGAGAGAACCATGAAGACAAAGGAACACACCAGGCAGGTCCGAGATACTGTTGTGGAGAAGTTTAAAGCCGGATTTGGATACAAAAAGATTTCCCAAGCTTTAAACATCTCAAGGAGCACTGTGCAAGCAATTATATTGAAATGGAAGGAGTATCAGACCACTGCAAATCTACCAAGACCAGGCCGTCCCTCCAAACTTTCATCTCAAACAAGGAGAGGACTGATCAGAGATGCAGCCAAGAGGCCCATGATCACTCTGGATGAACTGCAGATAACTACAGCTGAGGTGGGAGAGTCTGTCCATAGGACAACAATCAGTCGTGCACTGCACAAATCTGGCCTTTATGGAAGAGTGGCAAGAAGAAAGCCATTTCTCAAAGATATCCATAAAAAGTCTGGTTTAAAGTTTGCCACAAGCCACCTGGGAGACACACCAAACATGTGGAAGAAGGTGCTCTGGTCAGATGAAACCAAAATCAAACTTTTTGGCCACAATGCAAAACGATATGTTTGGCGTAAAAGCAACACAGCTCATCACCCTGAACACACCATCCCCACTGTCAAACATGGTGGTGGCAGCATCATGCTTTGGGCCTGCTTTTCTTCAGCAGGGACAGGGAAGATGGCTAAAATTGATGGGAAGATGGATGGAGCCAAATACAGGACCATTCTGGAAGAAAACCTGTTGGAGTCTGCAAAAGACCTGAGACTGGGACGGAGATTTATCTTCCAACAGGACAATGATCCAAAACATAAAACCAAATCTACAATGGAATGGTTCACAAATAGACGTATCCAGGAGTTAGAATGGCCAAGTCAAAGTCCAGACCTGAATCCAATCCAGAATCTGTGGAAAGAGCTGAAGACTGCTGTTCACAAACGCTCTCCATCCAACCTCACTGAGCTCCAGCTGTTTTGCAAGGAAGAATGGGAAAGATTTCCAGTCTCTCAATGTGCAAAACTGATAGAGACATACCCCAAGCGACTTGCAGCTGTAATTGCAGCAAAAGGTGGCGCTACAAAGTATTAGCACAAGGGGCCGAATAATATTGCACGCCCCACTTTTCAGTTTTTTATTTGTTAAAAAAGTAAAAATTATCCAATAAATTTTGTTCCACTTCACGATTGTGTGTCAAATACTTTCGCAAATATTGCTGTATTTTGGACGCTCAAAGACGCTTCACACAGTTATTCTTTCACTCTGTGCACAATGGTGTTAAGCTAGTAATGTAGCCACAGCTGCCCTGGGGCAGACTGACAAAGGCGAGGCAACCAGTCTGTGCCGTCGGCCCCCACCAACTGTTCACACACATGCCACTCTTGGTTTAGGCAATGTGGGTGAGGTCTCCCATCACAGTCTAATCAAGCCCAGCCCTACTTAGCTTAATATGTTGTAAGGGATCTTGCTTCTCCTGCAGGGGGCGCACTTGGCTCCAGTATCAACGCACAAATTAAATATACAACAAATAACCATCAGGTATTATATTGAGTTCTACCCAATTAGGATACAAAATAAAGAAAAATACAGTTTGAAAAGGGGTTGGACGAAGCAGACGTTTTTATGGCTCTAACGTCTCGTTCAACAAAACACACCCAAGACACAGGCCCAAACACTCTGTGGTCCAACACCTCTCCTTTACACAGGCCCAAATACTCTGTGGTCCAACACCTCTCCTTTACACAGGCCCAAATACTCTGTGGTCCAACACCTCTCCTTTACACAGGCCCAAACACTCTGTGGTCCAACACCTCTCCTTTACACAGGCCCAAACACTCTGTGGTCCAACACCTCTCCTTTACACAGGCCCAAACACTCTGTGGTCCAACACCTCTCCTTTACACAGGCCCAAACACTCTGTGGTCCAGCACCTCTCCTTTACACAGACCCAAACACTCTGTGGTCCAACACCTCTCCTTTACACAGACCCAAACACTCTGTGGTCCAACACCTCTCCTTTACACAGGCCCAAACACTCTGTGGTCCAACACCTCTCCTTTACACAGACCCAAACACTCTGTGGTCCAGCACCTCTCCTTTGCACAGGCCCAAACACTCTGTGGTCCAACACCTCTCCTTTACACAGACTCAAACACTCTGTGGTCCAACACCTCTCCTTTACACAGGGCCAAACACTCTGTGGTCCAACACCTCTCCTTTACACAGGCCCAAACACTCTGTGGTCCAACACCTCTCCTTTAAACAGGCCCAAACACTCTGTGGTCCAGCACCTCTCCTTTACACAGACCCAAACACTCTGTGGTCCAGCACCTCTCCTTTGCACAGGCCCAAACACTCTGTGGTCCAACACCTCTCCTTTACACAGACTCAAACACTCTGTGGTCCAACACCTCTCCTTTACACAGACCCAAACACTCTGTGGTCCAACACCTCTCCTTTACACAGACCCAAACACTCTGTGGTCCAGCACCTCTCCTTTACACAGGGCCAAACACTCTGTGGTCCAACACCTCTCCTTTACACAGACCCAAACACTCTGTGGTCCAACACCTCTCCTTTACACAGGCCCAAACACTCTGTGGTCCAGCACCTCTCCTTTGCACAGACCCAAACACTCTGTGGTCCAACACCTCTCCTTTGCACAGGCCCAAACACTCTGTGGTCCAACACCTCTCCTTTACACAGGCCCAAACACTCTGTGGTCCAGCACCTCTCCTTTACACAGGCCCAAACACTCTGTGGTCCAACACCTCTCCTTTACACAGACCCAAACACTCTGTGGTCCAGCACCTCTCCTTTGCACAGGCCCAAACACTCTGTGGTCCAACACCTCTCCTTTACACAGACTCAAACACTCTGTGGTCCAACACCTCTCCTTTACACAGGCCCAAACACTCTGTGGTCCAGCACCTCTCCTTTGCACAGACCCAAACACTCTGTGGTCCAACACCTCTCCTTTGCACAGGCCCAAACACTCTGTGGTCCAACACCTCTCCTTTACACAGGCCCAAACACTCTGTGGTCCAGCACCCTCCTTTACACAGGCCCAAACACTCTGTGGTCCAACACCTCTCCTTTACACAGGCCCAAACACTCTGTGGTCCAGCACCTCTCCTTTACACAGGCCCAAACACTCTGTGGTCCAACACCTCTCCTTTACACAGGCCCAAACACTCTGTGGTCCATCACCTCTCCTTTACACAGACCCAAACACTCTGTGGTCCAGCACCTCTCCTTTACACAGACTCAAACACTCTGTGGTCCAACACCTCTCCTTTACACAGGCCCAAACACTCTGTGGTCCAACACCTCTCCTTTACACAGGCCCAAACACTCTGTGGTCCAGCACCTCTCCTTTACACAGACCCAAACACTCTGTGGTCCAGCACCTCTCCTTTACACAGACTCAAACACTCTGTGGTCCAACACCTCTCCTTTACACAGGCCCAAACACTCTGTGGTCCAACACCTCTCCTTTACACAGGCCCAAACACTCTGTGGTCCAGCACCTCTCCTTTACACAGACCCAAACACTCTGTGGTCCAGCACCTCTCCTTTGCACAGGCCCAAACACTCTGTGGTCCAACGCCTCTCCTTTACACAGACCCAAACACTCTGTGGTCCAACGCCTCTCCTTTACACAGACCCAAACACTCTGTGGTCCAACACCTCTCCTTTACACAGGCCCAAACACTCTGTGGTCCAACACCTCTCCTTTACACAGACCCAAACACTCTGTGGTCCAACACCTCTCCTTTACACAGACCCAAACACTCTGTGGTCCAACACCTCTCCTTTACACAGACCCAAACACTCTGTGGTCCAACACCTCTCCTTTACACAGACCCAAACACTCTGTGGTCCAACACCTCTCCTTTACACAGACCCAAACACTCTGTGGTCCAACACCTCTCCTTTACACAGGCCCAAACACTCTGTGGTCCAACACCTCTCCTTTACACAGACTCAAACACTCTGTGGTCCAACACCTCTCCTTTACACAGACCCAAACACTCTGTGGTCCAGCACCTCTCCTTTACACAGACTCAAACACTCTGTGGTCCAACACCTCTCCTTTACACAGACTCAAACACTCTGTGGTCCAACACCTCTCCTTTACACAGACACAAACACTCTGTGGTCCAACACCTCTCCTTTACACAGACCCAAACACTCTGTGGTCCAACACCTCTCCTTTACACAGACCCAAACACTCTGTGGTCCAACACCTCTTCTTTACACAGACCCAAACACTCTGTGGTCCAACACCTCTTCTTTACACAGACTCAAACACTCTGTGGTCCAACACCTCTCCTTTACACAGACCCAAACACTCTGTGGTCCAACACCTCTTCTTTACACAGACTCAAACACTCTGTGGTCCAACACCTCTCCTTTACACAGACCCAAACACTCTGTGGTCCAGCACCTCTCCTTTACACAGACTCAAACACTCTGTGGTCCAACACCTCTCCTTTACACAGACTCAAACACTCTGTGGTCCAACACCTCTCCTTTACACAGACCCAAACACTCTGTGGTCCAACACCTGTCCTCTTCCTCTCTGTCCTAACCCTGTCCTCTTCCTCGCAGGGCCGCCTGCTGGTGAGACTTGGGAGTGTACATTTGGGAGAGAAGGTTCTCCGTGACGCCGTGCAGGCCCACAGCACGTCCCACGAGGCCTGGGGGGGTCTGGGGGAGGCCCTGCAGGCCCGGGACAGCAGCCAGGCCCCGGACTGTTTCATCACGGCCCTGGAACTGGAAGCCTCCAGCCCCATCCGGCCCTTCAGCATCATCCCCCGGGAACTGTGAGGACTCATCATCATCTTCGGCATCATCTTCATCATCATTTTCATCATCATCATCATCTTCGTCACCAGACTCTTCAAGTGAGTCCAGTTTTAAGCTAGAGTTTGGTATGCTCCTGCTTGGTTGGAATGAAAACCTGCAGCCGCACCTGCCCTTTAGTCCAAATACAGGTCCTGCGAGGTCAAACAAAGAGTTTAAACTTTTCAAGGACAATAAGATCTGGACAATGAATCCAAGATGGCGGCCCTTTGGCTCGTGCTCAGTCCTGATGAAGCTAACAGTGATCTTCACCTGTGACCCGGTGACAGCCCAGGGTTCGAGGGGCTGAGATAGAGCTGGATTTTTGGAGTTTGGAGGATTTCAAAAAATCTAAAAAGTTTATCTAACGTTCTCTATTGGAGAAAATGTTTTTGGACCCATACACTGCAGAAGATCAGAGGCAGGGCAGGTATATTTATATAGCACAGTTATGCAAGGCGACTCAAAGGACTTAACAACAAGATAGAAACAGTCATCATATAATATAATATAATTATTATAATTTAATATATACAATAATCACAGTTCATTCAAATGATGAAGATTCAAAAAACTCAGTTTTCAACCTGGGTTTGAACGTTGTCAGAGCAGAAGCCTCACATTTTCAGGAAGACTGTTCCAGATTGTAGCTGTTAGGGGTCCGTTAATTTGAGTAAAGATGGATCCACTGACTATAGTTTTATCCATCATACAATAGTCCTCTGACCTCTTGGACCTTAAAGTCCGGACTGTTGGTCTCTGAGGTCTCGGACCTTAAAGTCCGGACTGTTGGTCTCTGAGGTCTCGGACCTTAAAGTCCGAAATGTTGGTCTCTGACCTCTTGGACCTTAAAGTCCGGACTGTTGGTCTCTGAGCTCCCGGACCTTAAAGTCCGGACTGTTGGTCTCTGAGGTCTCGGACCTTAAAGTCCGGACTGTTGGTCTCTGAGCTCCCGGACCTTAAAGTCCGGACTGTTGGTCTCTGAGGTCTCGGACCTTAAAGTCCGGACTGTCGGCCTCTGAGGTGTCGGACCTTAAAGTCCGGACTGTTGGTCTCTGAGGTCTCGGACCTTAAAGTCCGGACTGTTGGTCTCTGAGGTCTCGGACCTTAAAGTCCGGACTGTCGGTCTCTGAGGTCTCGGACCTTAAAGTCCGGACTGTTGGTCTCTGAGGTCTCGGACCTTAAAGTCCGGACTGTTGGTCTCTGAGGTCTCGGACCTTAAAGTCCGGACTGTCGGCCTCTGAGGTCTCGGACCTTAAAGTCCGGACTGTTGGTCTCTGAGGTCTCGGACCTTAAAGTCCGGACTGTTGGTCTCTGAGGTCTCGGACCTTAAAGTCCGGACTGTTGGTCTCTGAGGTCTCGGACCTTAAAGTCCGGACTGTTGGTCTCTGAGGTCTCGGACCTTAAAGTCCGGACTGTTGGTTTATTTATATTCACCTTTCACCAAATGGTTTGAATCCTTCGTGTAAAGCTTTGAACCAAAAGGATCTCAGTGAAATGTAGTATTTTATCATATTTTTAATGAATGTTGAATAAGTCCATATTTCTCCTGGAGCTCAGAACAGAAAATATGTTTTACAATTGTGTTTATGGAAATGTTGATATTTTTGAATCGTGCGATAAAATGTGTTTAGTCAGAATCCAAGGATCTTAAATCAGATATATATAGACATAGAGATTGTTTTCTGCAAATAGGAATTAAAATGATTGTATATTTCCAGCTGTGTCACGCAGTTTGACCAAATACTGATTATATATTTTAAATAAAGTTGAGTTTGGAGGATTTCTGGGTTGATTCTTGTTTTCTACACAACTGTAAGATCACGTAACAGCTGTGATCTGATTGGACGGTTTGGATCTGGCTGTGATCTGATTGGACGGTCTTGACCACATGACCAGTCGATATGTCTAGTGTTGTATTTATAAATACGTGACATTCTAAAACCATGTGTTTTATGACCTAAACGACCTCTAAGTGGGAGGCCAGTCCTTCTTATTTTATTTTAGGTGTCTTCTTGTGCCAGCAACTGGACAACAGATGGATTCTCCTGTTTGGATTTCACCCCCCTAGTCTTGGCCTGCTGACTTCTGCACTTTTCAACCTCACTCCATCAGGAGTCTGGCAGACGGAGGAAAAGGCTGGACCCTAGACCGGAAGCTGGCTGATAGGACACTCCCCTCCTTCCTGTTCTTTTTATGCTCTGGCTGGAGGCGGGAACTGGAGAAGCAGACCAGGGCCAGAGAGGGACATGGATAGTATAGGAGCTGGTTGAATTTCTGTTATTTGATTGTAAAGATAAATTAAATACAGATGTTAAACTTGGAGATCTCTGCCTTACTTCTGCATCCATTTTCGAACACGTCAGTCAAAGGGAATTATTGACTGCATTTGGAGACCCCCGACGTGATGGTGCAGGAGCAAGACAGAGATGAGCTCAGCTATAGAGACTGGATTTGTGGGCCTGGAAAAAATCTCTCTGCTCTTCACAAATGTCGCTTTTAAAGAGGTAAGCGGATCATAGTTTTGAAAATCTGCACATTGTTTTAAATAGAAGAGAGAGAGATTTTGGCTCGACAGATTGCAGCGTGGCCAGACGACCGCCGTGACGGGGTGTTCTATCGGACGCGATAGAACAATAGTCAGGTTTTTCGACGTTTTTAGCCTTGGGGGAAGCATGGGTCCCTCCTTAAATAAAACAGAACATAGATGATGAAAAGAGCCACAGGGTTTATAAGTGCAAAAGAGGCACACCTTCGTGCAGAGAGGCACAAGCGTATTAGTGAAAAAATAGGAATAGAATTAGAGAAATAGGGACAGATTTAGGGTCAGAAGTGATAGGATAATAAAACCTCCATATCCCCCGGGGGGCGGGAAAAAGGGTACAATTAATTTAAACAGAAAAAAGCCAAGTATTTAAAATGTGGATTCTGATAATAACGATCTGATTAATGAGAAAAAAGAGAGCCACTTGGCTGTAAATACGAGTTTCATGTGAAGAAATGACAAAAGATCAGTTCTGGGAGTTTTTCTCTTGTATTGTGATGTAATGTTTCGATAGTTACAGAGAATCAAAAAAAAAAAAAAAAAGATTCTGCTGGAACTCTCGATACATTAATCATGTAGCAAATGGTAATGTTTTCCATTACTGACGTATTTAAGGATAAAATGTAAAGTGTCGTTTGACGTGAGAAAAACTTTTACCACTGATTAAAACCTTGTCACGAGAAAAACGAGGAAAGTATTTCAGACTCCATGTTTTCCTTTGTTCGGGAGGCCCCTCCCCTTCCTCGTTCTCTCTCTCTCTCTCTCTCTCTCTTTCTGTCTTCTCTCTCTCCCCTTCCTCGTTCTCTCTCTCTCTCTCTCTCTGTCTCTCTCTCTCTCGTGAAGAAAGAAATTTTTTGTAGAAAATTACATTTATACACACGATAATGTTACTGACATGGAGTCATAGGATCACAGAACTTTGAGTTAGATTATAAAGAGGCATTATTTTATTTTTTATCTCCAAGGCGTCTGGACAAGTTTTTTCCCTACATTTTGGTGATATAAAAGTTAGAATGATCTTAGAGAGCATTATACTTTTGGAAAAATAGGGCTCAGGATAGCAGTTGAATGCAGAATTCGGTTTTCAGAATCTAATGTGTAAAATGTTAATATTAATTATTTCATAGGTTTATTTTGAATTGTAATTAATCATTGGTTTGGTATGGTAATTAACACACTTGTTTGTGCTTCTTGTTTGTCTGTTTTTTTCCGAGAAAACTTCTGTCTGTTTCATTTGGCCAAAATCGTCTCGGCCACAAACCACCATCAAGCGCCATCAGCACGGACCATCAGCGTCTCCCCCTCTCCCTGCGGGTCGCAGGGGGCAGCATCGGCTGCAGCAGCTAACAGGAACTCTCGAAGAAGACTCCTCCTGCCTGTGAGGAGGCAAAGAAAAGACCGCAGACTTGTTCACAAACTGAGTGTTGTCCCATCTACGGAACAGAAGGTGGCGGTAATGCGAAACATAGGCCGCCAACCGCCGGAAAACCTAACAAGAAGAAGAAGGACACACACATTTGTGTGCGTCAAAAATGAGACAAAGAAAGACATGAGAAAAGTTGTCGAAAGAAGAAGAAAGTGATTGAAAAGGAAAAGACATTATGAGAAAAAGTTATCGGAAGAAGAAAGAAAAGTGATTGTTGAAAGAAGAAGAAAAAAGGCATTGAGGCAAAGACATTGGACACTTTGAGACAAAAGACATTGAAAGACGCCATAAGTAAAAGAAAGAGACATTAACGGACGCCATAAGAGGAGGACGTGGCCGGGCTAAATGAGACAGACAGAAGGTAATATACAGACAGACAAACAACGCACAGAGACATATTAAGTCATATTTACACATTTAGGTCATTCGTTCATAACACCACATTTAGCTGCATGAAAGAATACAGGACAATCGTTAAAATTAATTAGACTCTTGCTTTAGCATGAGACACAAGGAGATTAGAACAGCAGTATATTTAAGGTAGAGGAGCTCTATTATTGAAACTATTATTGTTATTTAAAGTTATAGACGCGGAGAAGTTTAGAATTATTGATTTTGACTGCATGATCTTGGTAATACGGATATTTAAGGCAATTTTTCAACCTCTGAACCGTGGCTCGTTAATCATTTAAGAACAATCACATGCACAGTTGAAACTGGTGCTAGAAAGAGAACTGCAGCTTTTAATGGACGCTGCATTTAATACAAAATGGTTTGTTCAGACAATTAAAGTTTGAAAAATGATTTAAAGTATTTCTAAATCTTGGCTAAAGGTGATATTAGACCATCTTTGATGGCACACTAACGCACCACTGTCCATTGGTTGAACAAGGATGTAGGGACATTTTATGAAATCTTTTATGACATGTTTCTCTTCCAAATAGCTAAATTAGAAACAATTAGGACAGTTATGTCTTTGATACAACTGTTGGAAGTTTATCTGAGACATGATTG